TCTATTCTATTCTATTCTATTCTATTCTATTCTATTCTATTCTATTCCTATTTTATTCTATTCTATTCTTCATTCTTCTATTCTATTCTTCTATTCCTATTTTATTCTATTCTATTCTTCATTCTTCTATTCTATTATTCTATTCTATTCCTATTTTATTCTATTCTATTCTTCATTCTTCTTTTCTATTCTTTTCTATTCTCGTCTTTCGCCTTCACCTCACATCTCGAAGTTTTTTCCCCTCTGTATCAGCCCAGGTTGCGAAGCTGATAACTGGCGAGGGAAGGAGATCGAGAAAGACAAGCATGTAAAAATAAAAGAAAGTGCCAGAAGTCATCTTAAAAATAGACACTTCAGCTGGCAGCGTCAAGTGTCCCCCCCCAGAGTTGTGCGAGGAGAACGATAAAATACAGTTCTCTGGCAGAAAATTAGGAGAGGCGGTAAATAATTCCCTGGGCACTTCGGAGGAAGGAAGTAGCGTGAGCACTCGCACAATCGCATTTTGGTGAGGGTGAATATGTCTAACCTCGATCCCGAGGAAGCATGCCCAAGGGATCAAGATCAAAGTATTTATCAAAAGAAATGTCACCCCATATTAGAGGAAGGCAGTGAATGAGTTTTGGGGATAGATAGAATAGAATAGAATTCTTTATTGGCCTTGTGCAACACACAAGGAATTCGTCTGGGTGCAAATGCTCTCAGCGCACATAAAAGAAAAGCTACATTCATCAAGAGTCAAGGATCATCAGGTACAACACTTAATGATAGTCATAGGGTACAATAAGCCATCAAATCATACTAGAAAACAGTCAATAAAAATTGTAAGGACACAAGCAACAAAGTTGAGGGGATTATTTGTTTAGCAGAGTGATGGCGTTCGGGAAAAAACGGTCCTTGTGTCTAGTTGTTCTGGTGTGCAGGGCTCTAGAGCGTCGTTTTGAGGGTAGGAGTTGATAAACGAAATGGTGGCTGGATTGGGCGCCTATCTAAACTGTGGCTGGAGGAACCTCTGCTTTTAAGGACTGCAGACAACACGCGTTGTTCACGATTAGCATTAAAGTCAGATTCAGCTGCCAACTAGGTTAATTTTTAAACATAAAATAGTAGTGAGAAAGTATTACCTTCCCCCCTGGGAGCCAAAAAATATTGGGAATTGCAGCTTTCAAATTCCCCCCTTTCCTCTGATGAATATTTAAACCTATTTGCAGCCCTCTTTCCAGCTTTGAAATAATTTATTCTTTTCCTTTCTTCAGACATAGCCCCCTCATCTTAGCTGCCAAAGAAAAGTTGCACGGCTGATTTTTATCCGCAGCCATTACGCTTAAAATAGCCTGGAATAATTGCATAAAATCCATATGGCGTCCAGGATGCAAACAATCACGATGGAATTGTACAAAACGTTCTCAAGAAATACGTAGGGTGTTGTTGTTTTTTTTGCCTCACTATTGCTCTTTCTTTCGCCCTTCTCCTTCCCAACACTCACCACTTGCAGGACTTAAAAAACAGTAGAATAATATGGCTGGAAGGGACCTTGAAGGTCTTCTAGTCCACCCCCCCACCCCCACGCCGATCAAGAGTACCGACATCAGAAGTGGTATTCAGCAGGTTCTG